CTCCTTTTATAGCTAGGAGCTGTCCGCTGCTTCAGCCACTGATGTTACTCTGAATTTCCCGCTCATGTCCCTGATTGGTCCATTCAAATCTGCCATTCAATACTCAACACCCCTCCGCTCTAGTTAGCATAACCAATCCCGAAGTCTCTAGGCAACGTAGTCACGTAAGTAGGCAGGTCGTCTCGATGCGTGACTTGACCTGCGCAGATCAGTCGTCCTGGTGTTCTCGGAGTGCGAGGTCAAGTTCCGGGGCTCTGCTGGCTCCGCCTCTGGAACTCTCTCGAACTCGCTTGCCGGTGTGGAACTATTTTCCTGGGTGTTATTTTCTTCCTCCCCTGGACGACATGGTGGATTGTAGCTGATGTTCGGTTCTTCCTCCTGGATTCCAGGTGAGTGCCCACTGCCTCTATTCGGGTTTGAGTCCTTTCCTGTGCTGTCTTGTGTGTGTGCCTGTGGTAGGGTTTGGTTTCTTTCTATGCCTTTTTCTGGTAGGCCAAGTTCGTTCCTTGTCACTCTGCCTCTGATCTGGTCGATGTGTCATTTCCACTGTCAGCCATCCTCGGTCAGCAGTCTGTATGACAGTGGTCCTGTGACTTGGGTTATTTCTCCCGGTATCCATAGGGGGTTGCCGCTGAAGTTCTTTGCGTAGACTTTGTCCCCCACCTGGAATTGCTGGACTCTGCTTGTGGAATCCATTGGCTTTTCTGTGCTGTACTGTGGGTGCAGCCTGTCTAATGGGGATCGCAACTTCCGTCCCATTAATACTTCAGCTGGGCTTCGGTGTGTGGACGTGCTCGGTGTGATGTGCTTGTCTATTTTGGGCTGCATGTCCCCGGGGCCCAGCCTTGCTAAGATCTCCTTGGTCATTCTCACCATTCTTTCAACAAGCCCGTTCGTGGATGGCTTTCCTAGCACTGACAATGCGTGCCAGATTCCTTGGTTAGCCAGAAACATCTCGAACGCGTTAGCCGTAAACTGGGGCCCATTGTCGGATACTAGCAAGTCGGGCAACCCGTGTGTTGCAAACAACCTCCTTAAGACTTGGATAACGGCGTCCATGGTTGTTGATGGCATTAGGGACACTTCCAGCCATTTGGAGAATGTGTCCACTATGATTAGGAACATGTTGCCCTGGCATGGCCCCACAAAGTCTATATGTATTCTCAACCAGGGTGTTCCTGGGTTCTCCCAATCATGTGTGGGTGCCGTGTGGGGTGCCGGTCGAGATTCTTGGCAAGGCATGCATGTTGCTACCCACGCCTCTATCTCCTTATCCATTCTGGGCCACCAGACATAGCTCCTAGCCCGTGCCTTCATTCTCACTATTCCCAGGTGCCCCTCATGTAACAAGTTTAAAATGTCCTGTCTTAGTACTTCAGGAATTATGACTCTGTCTCCCACAATATGCACCTTCTTAGTCCCGATAGCTCAGTTTGTCTTGATTTGAATGGCTGGAATTCCGTGTTCACATTCGCATCCGGCCATCCCTTCCAGATCCAATTCAAAACACGCGCCAGGGTTTTGTCTTTCGCTGTGGCTCTCGCGATGTCTGCAGCGGAGATTTGAGCACTTTCCATCGTTTTGATTAGCAGTGTGGTTGATGCTGCAGCTGGGTCTTCCCCTGTTTCCAGGAGTGGGCATCTGCTGAGCGTGTCAGCATGGTCGATTGTCTTGCCAGGTTTGTATTTCAGCTGGTAATCGTAGGCTGTTAAAAACTCTATCCAGTGAATCATTCTTGGTGATAATATCGGAGGTGTGGGTTTGTCTCCGGCGATGATTCCAAGTAGTGGTTTATGGTCGGTGATGATTTTGAATCTCCAGCCATACAAGTACTCGTGGAGTCTCTTTATTTCGGCTACTGCAGCCAATGCCTCCTTATCTAGTTGGCTGTAGTTTCTTTCTGGCTTTGACAACGTTCTGGAATAAAATGTGATGGGGGCTTCTCTTCCGTTTGGCATGCAATGGCTCAGTACAGCTCCAATGCTGAAAGGTGATGTGTCGCAAGTCAACCTTATTGGCAATGTTCCGCTGTATTGAACTAATACTCTGTCCGATGTTAGTAAATTTTTTATTTCCTCTAATGCCGCTCGTTCCTTCTTCCCCCACTTCCATTCCGTTGTTTTATCCAGTAGCTGGTGGAGTGGTTCAGCAGTTGTAGCTTTCTGCAGTAGGAAAATATTATAAAAGTTCAGTAATCCTAAGAAAGCTTGCAGCTTCGTTTTATTTTTCGGGGTAGGTGCTTCTTTAATCGCCCTCAGTTTTCCCAGAGTGGGTCGTATTCCTGATTTGTCAATCAAATAGCCCAGGAATTCTACTTGCCTTTCTGTCAAGTTGCATTTGTTCTTTTTTACTTTAAGCCCCACCTCTTGGAATCTAGATAGCACTTCCCTTAGGCGCTGCTGTAGTTGGTCTAAATTCCTTGCCGAGATGAGCACGTCGTCAAAGTATGGAACAACTCCCTCAATCCCTTGTAATAGATGTTCCATCAGGCTTTGGAACAGTCCCGGGGCTATGCTAACTCCAAATTGTAACCGCTTGCACTTGAAAGCAGCCCTGTGTGTTATGATTGTCTGGGCCTCAGCTGTGGCATCGTCATCTAGAAGCTGCTGGTATGCTTGTGCCAGGTCCAGTTTTGCAAATATTTTCCCTCAGCCCAGGGAGTGGAGCAGATGTTGCACCACTGGCACTGGGTACGCGCTCTGTTGTAGTGCCTTGTTTAATGTACTTTTGTAGTCACCACAGATGCATACTGACCCATCTGGCTTAACGGGAGTGATGATAGGTGTCTCCCACTTTGCATGGTCGGTCGGCTCTAAAACTCCCTGGGCAACTAGCTTGTCTAGCTGTTTATCTATTTTGGGCCTTAGAGCAAATGGGACCCTTCTGAGCTTAATCCAGACAGGGGCAATTTGGGGGTCTAGATTAAATGATATTGGGGACCCCGTATACTTGCCCAATTCACCGTTGAACACCTCTGTGAATTCTGCCATCAGTTGTTCTTCCCAGCCGCAGTCGTCGATGTGGTCGATGCCCATTACAGCCGGTCCTAATGGCTCGAACCATTCCAGACCTAATAGGTTAGGTCTATCTCAGTCCACGATGGTGTGCCTGGTGTGCTTTTCCTTGAAGGTTTTGTAGTCAACGTTGAACCTTCCTGTGCCAACTACTGGGATTTGATTCCCTTGGTAGTCTATGAGAGTCAGCCTTTGGTGTTTGAGTGCGCTGGGCTTGATGCCTGGAACCAGTCATTGTATCATTGCCCAGGAGACCATGGATAGGCAGGACCCCGAATCGACCTCCATCTTGCAGGGTCTCCCCTCGATGAGTACGGTTGCTGCCATCTTGTTGGACTTTCCCGCACTTGCATGACCCACTATTAATGTTTGGTGGGTCTCGCCTCGCTCCTATCCGGAATCCTCACCTCTGCGACCTCTTCCAAACAGTTGCTTTTTTCTGCTTGTCTTGAACGATCGGTTAGGGGGCGGTGAGTTTGGCGGTGGTTCAGTCGGCTCCTTTGGGATGCTGGTTGAGATGCTCTGCAGGCTCTCGCTATATGTCCTTTTCGGTCGCATCGTTGGCATATAGCATCGCGGAACCTGCACTCTGTCCTGGGGTGATTTCCTTCGCAACCTGAGCACTGGAATTCTAGCTTCCTTTTTCCTCGCGGCTTGCCCCTCCGGTCTGTTTGTAGGTGATGGACCTCATCTTCCTCTTTTTCCTCTGATTCTGTTTCCACGTCCTCATAGTGTATCACGGATTCCTCTTTTCCTTGTGGCCGCTTGTTCACCTTTTTCATGGCTGCCACGGATTTCTGGGATGTCTCTGATGCTGTGGCTTCTTCCTATGCCTCCTTGAATGTTATTTGAGGCTTGGCCAGTAGCCTGCTTTGCAACGTGAGCTCTTTTAATCCCAACACAGCCGGTCCCTCATAGCCTCTTCTAGGTTTAAGAAGTCGCAGGCGGCAGCTATCTCCCTCAGGGTCACGACGAACTCACTGATTGATTTGCCTTCCCTCTGGTCCCTCTGGTAAAATGCATGTCTCCTTACCAGGGATGAGGCTTGAGGAGGGTAGTGTGCCTTGAGGATGCTCTGTAGATCTGTCCAGGACATCGATCTCAGTTCGGTAGGGGCTGCAAGCGCTTTTGCCATTTTGAACATGGCGGCTCCGCAGTGCGTGATGAATATGGCTGTCTTTCTCTGCTCCGACAGGCTTAAGAGGTCGTTTCCTTCCATGTACATGTGGAATCTTTCCATGTAAGATTCCCAGTCTTCTCTAGCTGGGTTGAACGGTGTGGGTGGGCTGATTGAAGGCATAGTGGTAGCCGATGACCTGACCGATGCTCGTGGTCATTGTTCTGGGTGGCTGATGATTGCTTGTGGAGGTTAGTGCTTCATTCTTTGTCCTAGTATCCCACCTTCGTCGCCAGTGTTAAGTCATGGACACAAGAATGGACACACAGTAGAATCAACACCTTTTATTAGCTCCCTAATCACAATGGAGAATCCTAGCCGTGGCAGTTCCTTTTATAGCTAGGAGCTGTCCGCAGCTTCAGCCACTGACGTTACTCTGAATTTCCTACTCATGTCCCTGATTGGTCCGTTCAAATCTTCCATTCAATACTCAACACCATGCATAGTCACAGGGTTACCACAGGGTTCTTTGAAGATGTTTCACTTCTCATCCAAGAAGCCAAGGGCTTCAACAACCCTCTAAAAATATGCAAATCACCAGCTGTCTGCAAGGAATATAAATCCTTCTTTTCTCCACCATCCAGTCAGAGCTGAAGAAGCTTGGATGAGAAGTGAAATGTCTTCAAAGAAAAAACAAGAGAATCTCTATAGGCTTTCATCTTGAATTTTGCTTTCATATCAGACCTCTATTTTCTCACTTTACAAATCCGGAAGTGGTCTATGTTGTGGCCTCGGGCTTTTTGACTGTAATGTATACTTCGGGGTTCGTCTCATTCTAATGCTTCCTGTGTGAAGGTAAAGGTTGAGAATATGTATTAGCATCAGAACGTTCTTCTTTTCGATGGTAGCACATAGGTAGGTTAATAATCCAGCAGCTGCAATTGTTATTGGGATGTCACACCAAAAACCAGGATCAACAGCACTGCGCTTCCAAGCCGACTCATGAGACTAGAAGAGGATTATCATAAAACCAGGTAATGGATGCATGCATTAAATGGGGTAGTTTAAGAGAGGATGTCTTAAAGAAAACTTTTAATCTGGCAGATTTCATGCATCTCATCTTGCAACTTCATCCTTCCCTCAAAGTTCTCAAAGAAACAGGATTAAGAATTGGAATTTATTAATTCTCCTTAATAGCAGGTCACTCTCCTGAATGGCTTTTAAGGGAATTAAGTAAATTCCTGGAGAAAAGAGGTGTTATCAAGGGATATTAGTTTTGACTACCCCATGGCTGACAGCAATGTATCCCCAAATGCCACTTGTAGGGGAACAACAGCAAGAGAGACATATATCTTCACCTTCTGTTTGTGAGCAAACCAGAGACATCTGCTTGGTAATTATGAGAAACAAAATACTCAATAAAGTTAGTACTGGCTTGATCCCGAAGGGATATTCTTATGGTTTGATGTTCTGGATGTTCTCCATTTTATTTTAATGTTCTTCCTCTTTTTTTTTTTTGTTGAAAATTGTTCTCTCATGGTTCTTTTTTTTTAAATTCTCTATATGCTCTTTCCAACAAACAGCATTTTGAGGGGGCGGGGCAAAAATTCCAAAAGGTTATTTTGACTGGTGACTTCTGAGGTCAATATAGTGAATTGGGTAGACCTTTTTTAAAATCATATTTAGCATATAGTTTTGATATCAAAATATCAAAATCTGATATTTGATAAATTTGCTTTAAAAAAATATCCTGAAATTATTTTACTCTTAACGTTCATAAAAGAGAATCAACTGCTGCTTCTTAATTCTAGAATCCTGTTATCTGTTGCTTTGTTTCCTTATGTATATGTTGTTGATGAAGACAAAGAAACAGCTCTGAGGAAATCTTAGGTTTCAAAAGAAAATACTCAACTGCCTAAAGAAAACTGAGTGGTGTGTAGAATCCATTCATTTTGAGATAGCTTCTACTTAAAGAATAATTCATTTTGAGAAACTTTCCACTTCAAGTGTAAATGTCAGGGTGATTAGAATAATGACTGAAAATGTACTCAGGAAATGAAATACAATGAACATTTGCATAGTCAATGAGTAGCATCTTTTAAGCTGTTCCTGATCAGGAAAAAATGTCTGAAAAGGACACTTCATGACACTTTACGGCCAAGTCCCCTGATGTATTTTTGGCTAGGAATACATTTTTACACTGCCAGATCGTGGAGACTAAGAAGTTTTATACATTTTGTGCAGCAAACACATAAACCCATTTGGAATTTTGACAACAATTTGGATCCACTTCTAAAATGGCTGCCATTGAAGACTTGTCCATATACAAAACAGCCACCATGGTGGGCATGGCCATTCACAAAACAAGAACTCGCTAGTAAGTAAACTGATGAGCAGGCTCTCCATCTCCCCTTTAGCCTTCCAAAACTGTTTTCTAAAATAGGCTCCTCTTTTGGCTCAGTGTTGCCCCACCCATTCTTAATTTCTAAGCAGAAGAATTAGGCTGCAATTTTATTTTCCAACCATGCTAATGAGCCCATGGGAAATGATTGCATAGATCATGTAGTGCCTGGAAACATTCTTAGAAATAAAGTTGATCTTGAAGTCTGGTGTTTTGTTTGGCAGCATGTCAGCTTCCCAATTAGTGCTTATGTTAAAATAATGTTAATTCTAATTAAAAACCAGACATAGCAGGGTGCTTGTTTCTCAGCAGGCACAAATGTATGGTATTTTGAGGTCTAGGGGTATCCTGTTAAGGTTTCCAGTTACATCGATGGTTCTTAGGAACCATGTCATTGATATTATTATATTTTATGCTACTTCCTATATAAATGAATCTCAGATATTATAAAATATAAATGCATGATAAAAAGGTTGGTTTAAAAAAATAGGCAAGAGAAAGAAACCCTGGGAAATGAAAACAAAGAAAAACCTTTTATCCCACATTCATGTAAAAAGGCCTAGGTCGGGGGTAGGCAACTGTGGCCCTTTTACAACCTGTGGACTTCAACTTCCAGAATTTCTGAGACAGGCTATCTCAGGAATTCTGGAAATTGAAGCCCACAGGTTGTAAAAGGGCCACAGTTGCCCACCCCTGGCCTAGGTGAACTGTAAATCTTAAGAAGAATGTAACAGGAAGTGCATAATGGTGTTCACTAGACAGAACATTCCAGAAAACAGCCATCATTACAGAGAAAGCCTCAGTGTAGAAACTGCAATATGGAATTTTGTGGTTCCGGGCACACATAGTTGGATTTCTCCTGAAAATCTCAATAATTGAGGTCTATAAGAGCCAGTTTGGTCTACTGGTGGTTCAAGCATCAGACTAGAAAGCAGGAGACCATCAATTCTAGCCCCACCTTAGCCATGAAAGGCAGCTGGGTGGCCTTCAACCAGTTGCTTTCTCTCAGCCCAACTCATCTCATTGCATTGTTGTGGGGAAAATAGAAGGAGGAAGGTGTGTTGGATATGAGTTGTTTGTAAAAATAATAAAAGTGGGATACAAATAAACGAATAAATAAAAATGCCTTATATATCACATGTAAAATTATTAACCTGATTAGGTAACTAATTATAGCAATGAACCTGCTTTCGTGGATGTACATATACCAGTTCAGTTTCCAAACCAAGTATAAGGCTAGTCCCATATAACACATATCACAATAATCTGAGCAATATTAATGTATGGACAATAATAGCTTAGCAGTCTTTGTTTAAGAAACATTTTAGCTGAGCTTCTTTTAGGTGTTTCTCACCTCAAAGATCACTTAGACATCCAATTATATTGTTTACATTCACAGATATCTTCTATCTAGCATTTCCAAGACAGAGTGACCCACTGAGAATAAGCAAGGTTTTCACTTCTATTTACACATTCTCCACTTTGTCAACATTAAGTATCAATTAATTGACTTATATTTTCTCCATCAATTCAATCAGAGGGTGATTTAGATATTGTAAAAAAAAATAATATAGACATGAGTAGAGCAAACATATTGATGATTCCTTTCCCAAAAATGATTGATAACTACCTCAGCAGCTTCATAGAGATACAAAAAAATAGCACTCAGGACAAAATAGCCTTATGGTATACAACAGCATAGTTGCCAGAATTCAGACATTAATACCTTTTTATACAATTCCTGCAAGTAGGAGCAGAACTATTGTACCACAATAAACCTCCCTCCCTCCTCATGAAGAAAATCCAGTAATTTATCCATGTTGATATTATCCAAAGTTGTTGAGATATAAAACGGATTGGACAGAATGGCCTCACTAATGAAATCAAACTGCAAATTCTGTGAGATGTGTCCAGAGAATAAATTAATGAGGGAATGGTTGAGTGGGAGAGTGAGTGAATTGAAATATGCATACCTTTGCAGGTGAGGTTCATTGAGATTGCTTCTTTTATTTCCCCCAGCCTTTCAAATCTCTGGTTATGGAGAGCCGCCTGCTTATTCCGATCTACATTATTTCATTCTTCCAAGCATCAGGAGCCAGGCAGAGTAAGTCTGATTTCTGCTTATATTTCAGAATGGACTATGAACTAGAACTATGTCAGAGACAAACACTAATCTAGTAGTTTTCAAGTTGTGCCCCTGAGATCCCAATTTTCCAGTGCAAAATACAACCAAAAACCATGGTATATATATAATGTAGATGCAATGGATCACCAAAGAGATCTCCTAAACCCAATGCTCAGCCATCTGCATGTTTGTAAAGAGATCCCTGAGTAAAGATGCAATCAGTGATCCTCTTCACTTGTTGCTTGATGGTAATATTTTCATCCATTCGCTTGCCTTTTCCTTATGATTCAGACTTAAAAGAAGGTAGCAAAATGAGTAAAAGCTGATGTTTCTTTCACCTTCTCCTTTTAACTGTTCACTTACAGGGCCCCACAAAGCAACAGGGTGATGTATAACTGGGTTTACTAACTATCATGGTGGGAAGTGGGGCCCTTGCTTTGGAAGGTGCCAAGATATTGAACCTCAACTCTTTCTTCTTCTTCTTTTTTTATTGAAAAGTTTTACAAAAAACAAAAATTTTCCTCCCCCCATATTCCCCCCACCCTTTCCCTCCCCTCATCCCCCCCTCCCCCCCAGACTTCCCAGAGCAAAATACAAGGTGTTTCATTTAACAATCATAAAATAGATTAACCTACTTATCCTCGGACTGCTAACTCTCCCCCTGAAACCTTAACTACGCTATAGATAACAAAATACTTCTAATACTTAACATTCATTCATAAGCTATTTGATATTTTCTTGTCTGATACTTATTTTGAATATAGTCAACTCTTTCTTCTTGTTCAGTGTGATATGAAAGGAAGAGGAGAAAAGGGCTCAAGGGATAGTGGGGAAGTGGCTGAATTGAATGGATTGATGGGTGGGAAAGGCTTTATCCCACATTGGTTTTTGTAAATAAGCAGAACTATCCCACTGTTTTCTGACCCAAACCCAAATTAGGAAAATATGGTTCAAGTAAGTCAGTAAGAGAAGGGGAAGCTAATAATTTACATATGACAAGGAAGGTGTCAACTTTGGAAGCCATATTAAACTGGAACGCTGACAGAAGGGCCAGAAGGAGTAGAAGCAGGAGCTAACTTGGGTGTGAGGTTTCCATGAGAAAAAGCAGGCTAAGTGTCAGAAGCATTTTATATAATTTGTTATTGAAATCAACAGACCGGTTTATAAGGAAAACAGTAAAGGGCGACATAGTTGTTTACCCATCATTGGTTAAACCCCATGATATAATGAATATTTCTTTCATAACCAAAGTGTTGCCCAATGGCTGGCCATATCCATAATATCTTTTCCAATAACGAAATCTGCTCATCTACTAAAAAGAGGGGGGGAAAGGGGGAGGGAGGAATAAGCCTTCTTTTGCCTGCTCAGCAGATCTGCCTGGTACAGTGAGTTTCACATAACACAGAATGAAATGACACAACAGATTTTCACCTCTCTACTAACAGAATCTTCAAATCTGGATTGTTTATATGACTCATTTGAGACAGTCATTTGCACCTGGATCCCTGTGAAAAATGCTATGAAAGGGCAATGCCAACTCACTGCTTCGGTCGAATATGGGTAAGTAATCAGTAAAATGCACCTAGAAGATAAAAGCCAGTTTGCCTTGTCTTAGGTCTATTCAAGTCATTCATCAATAGAAAAAAAAGGTTTCTAATCTCTTGTCAAAGAAATATGTAGAATATTGGTTTTCAATGACTTCTATAAAGCTACCAAGCTCATTGTCTTCAACACTCTTAGGAAAATATTGACTTTGAATACTTACATCCCTGCACCTTAATAATTTACAACTTCTGTCTTATAAGAATTGTATTAGACCCTGAGATTCTCAAAATGTGGATAGTAACCACTCCAAGAGATCAACACCAATTTTGGAGTTGATAGTAAAACTTTTTTCATATATAGTCTTCATCAAAATAATCAAGCTCAATTTTTTTTTAGTATTCTTAATTTTTGGTTAAGTCACTCCTCAGTTAAAAGTTTAACAAGTTAACTTGTAACACAATTGACAATATTGTAATCTGTAAACAGGGTTTCTCAACCATGGCAAGTTCCCCCATGTTGGCTGTTATTTTATTATTTATCTAGATGTATTAGCTGCCCAACTCCAGTGGATTTTGCGATGTGTACAAACTAGGGGGAAAAAACCCAAAAATATAAAATCAGTTAGTCCAAACTAAAATAATATAATAAATCACATAATCTAATAAATCTAATAAATCACATAATCAGCAAAACAAAACAGAGGCCTTAAACAAATCATCAGCATCAAACCCAGGCCTGGGACCAAAGCTAGGTTTTCAAATCTTTCTGGACCCCTAATAGAAGGGTCTAAGACAGTGTTTCTCAACCTTGGTAGCTTGAAGATGGGTGGACTTCAACTCCCAAAATCCTGCTGGCTGGGGGATTCTGGGAGTTGAAGTCCACCCATCTTCAAGCTACCAAGGTTGAGAAACACTGGTCTAAGACAATTCACCATGGTCTACTCACCACAGCCAACTTGCTGTGATCAACTTATCATGGCCAAATCGCCACGGGACAACTTGTCACAGCCAACTCACTACAGGACAATTCAAATGCCGCAGGACAATTCAACGCTGTATTGTTTCATTCAGTTACTTTTATTATTGGTGACCATGTTTTTGTCAAAAGTATTGTAGCTCTTGTATTTCTGATTGACTTTCTTTCTTTTATTATTATTGGCCATGGTTCCAGCAAAATTAATTTAACTTTTGTATTTGTTGAATTGTCCCGTGGCGAGTTGGCCGTGGCGAGTTGGCTGCAGCCAGCCTATTAGCTTTATAAAATATTTAAATTTATGCATTAAAATTTGTCAGTTGAAATGTATCTATTAAAATGTTGATTTGGTTCTATAATTTGCTGTTGTTCAAAAGTAAACTTATTCATCCGGAGTATCTAAAATGGGAATAGCAGACTGGCACCTGAACATGATTTATCTGAAAAGAATTGGAAGCATGCTTTATTATGTATTTTGCTCAGATGCTGCCTTTCCTTTCAAAGAATCCAGGATGTATATAATATAAATGACGCCCTACTATACCAGAATTAAAACACAAAAAATACTATTTCAAAAATAGTAGTCCTGTAGTCGGATTACACTTCCAAAATTTGTGTACAAATATTTTTCCAGCATATTTCTTCCAAAATCCATAGTTGGAATGCTGCCTCTAATAAAGTTCAGTTTCAAGCTATCACACCATAGGACCAAAAGGCAAGATCTCCTCAATTAATCTTAAAATATAGATTTAGAGATATTGGGAAATTTCTCTTTTATCTATTTCATTCTGAATTTATGTTAGTTTTATACACATAAGCATCAATATTCCAAATTGGGACTGGCTAGAGAATAATTCTATCAGTGATATTAAATTAATAACCTATTCCTGCATGCGAGTTATCTGATCCTACAACGGCTATCTTGCATTGTGTGAATAAATTGTTTATGTGTAAAATTTAGAAATTTGTGTGCCTAATGACAAAGTCTTCCTTGTAGGAAACCACCTAAGACATGTCAAATGAATGGCACGAGCATAAGGAGCTATAAACTGATTCTTGAGGTAAGTAATCCTTTCACAAAATCCTGGTTAATGTGAACAATCTTTTTACAAAAATTGTTTTCAGTATATGATGTTGGAAAAAACAATATTTGATTAAGCACGCTTACAGCTACAAAGTGATTAATCCTCCAACACCAAAAAGTTCTTTGTCCTTTGGCTGCATATTTCAGCATATTAAAATTGCCTTATTTCAAGATATAAGGCTGAAGTTTCTGTTTCAGTAATAATTTGACTTGTTCACTGATATCAGTATGTGAAGATTTAGTTATTATATACCACTCATTCTTCTCTATATTGCTTTGATCCATTCCCGTTACTTTGGCAGAGGGGGAAAAAAGAATAGGTCAACTATCACCAAAGCCACCAAACTTCTAAGGATATATACAGTATAACAGTTAAAACTGATTTAACAGTTGTGGAGTGATTTTATTTACTTATTTCAATAGAAATTGAATTCAAACTGAATGTACAAGTAAATATGCAAACACCATCTCTCCATCATTTAAAAAAAACAATTATTACCAAATTTCCACAAAACATTAATTAGAGGAAAAAATGAATAGAAAGTTATAACAAAAAATATGACACAAAATATCCAAAAGAGGGCTGTGGAAATATTTACAGATCCTTTGCATCCTGGACATAAATTGTTTCAACTCCTACCCTCAAAGCAATGCTATAAAGCACTGCACAACAAAACGACTAGACACAAGTACAGTTTTTTCCCGAACGCCATCACTCTGCTAAACAAATAATTCCCTCAACACTGTCAAACTATTCACTAAGTCTGCATCACTATTACCATTAATCTTCTCATCGTTCGTATCACCCATCTCGTCCCACTTATGACTGTATGACTGTAACTTTGTTGCTTGTATTCTTACGATTTACATTGTTTCCTAGTATGATTTGATTGCTTATTTGTACCCTATGACCATCATTAAGTGTTGTACCTTATGATTCTTGATGAACATATCTTTTCTTTTTATGTACACTGAGAGCATATGCACCAAAGACAAATTCCTTGTGTGTCCAATCACACTTGGGCCAATAAAGAATTCTATTCTATTCTATTCTATTCTATTCTATTCTATTCTATTCTATATTATCAAAATCAAGAGTTGTAAAAATTTATCTTCACAATTCTTTTTTAAAAAATGAAGTTAAAATACAGTTCCAGGAAAAGGAAATTGGTTCAGGACCATGATGCCATTACAAAGAAGATTCTTTCTCTCTTACGAAGACCAGCCTAATTCCACATTAGGAATAAGAGATGGAATGGAGAGCCAGGCTAGCATACTTTCATAACTGAGAAGAAAGCCTCACCTCTGAATTGCATCCTCTTCTATTGAGAATCTCAATTTAGATACCGTACCTATATTGGCCTTGAGTCTCAGGAATAATTGAACAGATAAACACAATTTGAAGCTTCCTGGGTAAAACATACTTAGGACTTTAAAGAAACTGGTTACATTTCCATCCTAAATAAACCAGAAGCTCTTAAAGGCTGAACTTCATTAAATTAAAATGCTAAAAAATAGGAGTGTCACCTAACTTTCAACAGAAATCTGGATCAGTATTCTGAACCAACTACACTTTTCAAATCTTCTTCAAAAAGTCCATGTAGAATAGATTAATGTAAGACTACAAAGAAAAACCAAATCTTATAATAACAGTATCAAAGAAATTACAAAGAAATAAAAGCCAGCTCTAGGAACATTAATTAAAGTTATTTAAAGACACTTTTTTGAGATTGTGAAGAATGTATCACGATACACAACACACAATCATACATATGCTACAACTCAGAAATGCATCCCAAAATAACATTGTGAAGATGACCTGCTGTAGTACTACAGTACGTCTGTGTGAAAGTTTCCTTACAAATTATATAACTGAACAGTAAATCTCCAATTTTAATTAAGAACATTTAATAGCCATACCTATCATGAGCTTACAGAACATCATCTGACATACTTTCATTTTATGTACTGTTCTTTGCAACAACATCTGTGATAGAATAACTGGTTCTGTTCTTAATTAACAGTGCTATATTTGATTTTAGGATTACGGCTTGACTATTGTAGACACTATTCTCTTCGTTGTGTCTTGCTATACTGGGGAGAAGTGGATAGAGGTTCATAATCTTACAATAAAACCATTTCAGAACAGTAAGTTGAAAATGTCTGGTTTGAGATATTTGATACTTTGCCATGTGCTAGATCACTAGATTGTATGATATACTTTCCTATTTGCCATTCCTATGATTCCATGTGCTATATTTCATGTAGCCAAAATAGCACTATGCAATGGAAATTAGGTTCAGCCCAGAGAAAAAGTGTAACAGTCATTGTGACATATAGGCAACAGCTGTTATCTTTTATTTTAGCTATTAATGAGAGACATTCAACCAATTAAATACAGTCTTTGTTAAATCGGTAGTGGAAACTCAAGGATAATGATAGCTTTGGACTGAAATAATGAATAATGATGTGAAGAAGGGGAAAAAAGTAGCAGCAATCACAACACAAGTAGGTCATAATTCAGTACTATAATGAATGCTTGCAGCTTCTCAAAGCAACTGAAACACTTATCCAAACCCACAGCTCAAAATATTCAGAATGTATCATGTATCAAGAACCTTCCCATGTCATCCGACCTTATGTATGCATGTGAATGAAATATTTCAGCCAGGATCGCTGATGAAATGAAATAATGAGGACTGTGAATTTTATGCTGAATCAGAGCAGACTCAGCATAAATATTGTTGTGTCCAGGGGTGGGCTTCAAAAATTTTAGCAAGGGGTTCTCTGCCCGGTTGCTGGGTGGGCATAGCCATGGTGGGCATGGCCTACTTGGCCTCCTGCACTATGGTGGGGGGGCTTTTTGCCCTCCCCGAGCTCTGGAGTCTTTCTTCGAGGCTCCGGGAAGACAGAAAAGGCCTCCCCAGGACTAGAAGCCCTCTGGAGGCCAGAAAGGCGCCTGTTTCTGGCCTTCCCGAACTTCCAGTAGGCCTGTTTTTCACCCTCCCCAAGCCCTGCACTTAACTGCATCCAAAACGGACTGTGTGGGGACTCCTGGGAGGGAAGGAGTGGGGTGGGTGGGGCACTGCCAGCCAGAAATGGGATTTGGGGGTTCTCTGAACTGCACAAAATCTTAGTTAGAGGTTCTCCTGAACCCCTGCGAACCCCAGCAGGCCACCTCTGGTTGTGTCCCATATTCTGGAAAGGACTTGAGATCACCACTATTTTTTCCATGAAGGAATACCAGTTATATAGGCATTATATAACCTTCCAATTCTGAGGTCCTTCAGATATATTGCACTTACAGCTCCTTCAAAAACCCAGCCAACATGGTTAAAAGCCATGAGAGTGGAAACGTGAGAGTTATAGTTGCAACATAATGAGAAGATGCCAAGGTAGGAAAGTTGCACTTTATCAAAGGAAAATACTTGATTCACTCATGGTTAGATCAAAGTCAGCTTACTAACTGTCTACCCAAATTTCAGTAAAACTTGCCAAATGTAGTTCTTCCTTTAATATGAGATAAATTTGTTTTTAACTGACTTGGCATCAAGATAATAGCATAGGGATTGTACAATCACTTCTCATCGTATTAAGACCAGGAACAAGTTCAATTTATCTCTTATGTTCTAATTTCAAACTCTATTGTCTCCCACTGTCCTTATCTTTGAGGTCTACTCATCATAATGACCATAAATAAAATTAGAAGTTTGTTTATTCGTGTCAGAAGCATCACAATTAAAATAAAGCATACCATATGACATAAATTTAAAATATAGAATTCAAGATCAAAATATGTACGAATTAAGCAGATCCTGTCCAGAAACCACAAACATTAATTGTGTTCTGTCGCACTGCCACGAAGTCCTCAAATATATACTGATTGGGATGTGTGTTATTGTCTACATGTCATCACAATCACAAAGAGCAGAAGCCACCTAATAGCCCCCATTTGTTCAGAGTGCCTCTGGATCTTGTGGTACCTGTGCACAGTCTATTCAACAATTTCCATACTTCCCAGATTTCATCAGGCCCAGGTGCAGCTCCTGCATTGTTTCCATTTAGTATTGGTTCTTTGTAGCTTTCCATAGTCCACTCTGCTTTAAAATTCTTCAAAGTCTTCCATTAACCTAAGAAAGCTTTTCCTGAATTTTAATCTCTGATGAGCTGGTTGTAGGCCATAGAGAGGGAGTTGTTGAGATAAGTGATGATTTGAGCTTCTGTCTGTATGCTGCTGTTTCTCTGTGAACAGCAGGCAGGGCAATGTCGGCTAGGTGGTAGATCTTATCTAGAGGGGTAGATTTAAGGCATCCGGTAATAATTCTTCTAGCTTCATTCAGAACAACATCTACTTTCCCAGCATGTGCTGATTTATACCAGATTAGTAATGATTGCATCCCTTGTGCTACGTTCCACTGTTAAATGAAGCTGATAATCTCTCATCATGTAAAAAGAGCCAGGTTGTTCAAATCTGCCCACTATATCACAGCCTCCCCATTTCTGTCATCATCAGGTTACCCCCAGATGCTGCTGTGACAATTAAAGTCTCCAGTGACAAATTTTATTTTATCCTTAATAAATGTATTAAATTCATCACCCTTGATCTCGTTTAGTGGTGGTTTATACACTGAAGTAACCATATATTTTCTCAGCTCTACAGTTATTACTTCTATGTTATTTATTTCTGATATTGTTGTGGACTTCACAAAAACTGCACCATTGGTGGAACCTCTCTGCTACAAACCACATGCTCTGTATTTTAGGTCTCTGATGGTTGTCTCTGTGAATCTGCTGTATACACGGGACATCACAGTTATATTTTTGGCACAAGTCCCACAACAGTTCTTCCTTATATATAGACAAACTCTCAATGTTTACTGAAATAATAGTCATCTGTGGACCTGAAAAGGTCCTTTTTGAGATACACATAGTGTCACAGGTGAGAATGAGGACTTTGCTATGTTTGAGATACTTCTGGACAGTGGTGGTATTCAGCCAGTTCTATCTGGTTCGGGTGAACCGATAGGGGCGACTGCGGGATGCGCTACCCACCCATGTGGACATCATGATGTCCCATTTTCCCACATTTTTGAGGCTCTGCACATGCGCAGAAGGACTTGCGCATGTGCGGAAGATGGGCACATGCACATTTGCGAACCAGTAGGGAACGTAAGTGAATACCACTTCTGCTTCTGGATTGAAAGCCAACAATAAGCTGTTGCCCAGGGGATGCCTGAATGTGTTAACAGCATTTATTCTTTGGGGAGGCAGTTTTCATGTCCCCCTTTCTTCAGGGACGCTCCTTTTAATCAGAAGTTTATTTATCTCAATACCCTATTCCAATATGGCTTTATCTCCAGCAAAATGTGCTATACTACCCATGATGCTTAAAAGACCACCTAATCCAAAGTAAGTCTGCCTGTCCTGAGAATATCCAAAGACAACCTGCTCAGCACACCATCATGGTGTGAAGTTGGGGGTGGAGGATGCATGGACTGGAAAGCAAGCCTTCTTTCTGGTAGTCTTTACAGTCAGGAAACACTATGAGCCAAGTGATATGTTTGGCTCTTCTAGCATTTAAGATGCTAGTTGGTTTGGTTTTCACGCAGACTTTTGTTGCCCGGTTGTATAGGTGGATCATCACATATTCTTCCTACATCTGGTTTTATTTCATTATTTAGAATATTTAAATGATCTAATTGAAACAGTATGTCTTTGGGTGGCAAAAACATTGTTAAACAAAGATCCATAGGAAAACAACACACCCTAGCTGACTAAAACAATTAAATCACAGTCAGAACTAGTATATACTGTATTTCAGCAGTTGGGAACTCAATTCTAACCCAAGCAAGCATGGAAAGAATAAAATCTTTAACTGCCTTTCTAAAGAACTGCAAGCTTGAAGCCAACTGTATATTGGGGGAACCATGATTCCAAAGTGTGCCACTGTGGGTTTCATAAGTGATAATCAGCACTCTGAGTTGCACCTGGGAACCTATAGAGACCTAGTGCAGCTCATGGAGTAGAGGACTTACATAAACATAACAAGCCCCACCATTGCAACTGAACTTCCAGATGGTCTTTCAGGACAACCTGATGTAGAACACATTGCAATAATCCAATCAAGAGATGACTAACGTATAAGTGTCTATGAGAAGGTCCAGGAACAGGTGCAACTGATGCACATGCAATGGTGCCTTTGGTCACATTCTTCAAACAAGAACTGTGAGGCCAGAAGGACTCCAAAATTGTACAACGAATTTGAGTGAGATGGTGAAAGCCTACTCAGAATCATATTTGAGGTCTCTACAGTTCCAGTGACTTAGGGCTACACTTAGTTTTGATAGGGCTGAGCTGGAGCCTGTTTTTCCTCGTTCAAGCCTTTATTTCATTTACTGCCTTTCTATAGTTTGCATCGTTGTTTCCTGCCAAGAATCATGAGATTAGATAGAATGAAAATGTGATGTATGAGTAATTTTTTTAGGAAGTAGCAAACACTACACAATTTGCCATCTTGAATGGACAGGGCCCGCCAAAGAAAATGTACTTCCAAATGCTTCCAGCTCTAAATTAGAGAGAAGGGGTGTGTGGATTAAAAATAGCCCTCTCTTCCTAGTTCTCTTATTGCAGCTGTTGTGGCTGGGTCTATAGAAGCAATAGCTCCAAAGGGAATCCCTGTCACACACATGTGCACATACACATTAAATGTTTCCCCGCTTTGATTGCATTTGATGTGGCAAGGCTTCTTTACTCACAAAAATATTTCTCCTCAGATACCTCCAGCAACAACTGGTGTGAGTTAGAGAAGGGGGTAGCATGAACACATTCCTTCCCATCTCCTTGCAACTTTTGTGACTATGCCCCCAGCAAGTTGCAACACAGAGGCTCCATAAACCACTGGAAGTATCTCTTGATTCCTGATTGTGCAGTATTATTTCAGTTCTGCTTCTTGACTGGATAAAACTTCTTTGCCCATCAAAGTGTTCTAACTCAAACTCGCTGTTTGTCTAATGATGATAATCGTAGTAGATTGGAGAACAATTAGGATTATTAGGTAGTTAGGACAATTACCTCTCTTGCTGTTGGACTGCTGCTTTGTGGCCAGCTTTACACAGAAACGGGGGAACTGGTCAGAAAATAATTATATTCTTACTGAAGTTTATGATAGCCACAAGATTTAAAATATATAGTATAACTACTAAGAAATTTCTTTTTTGCTTTCAAAATTAGTCCAGCTTCAGCCTCCTTGCAACTTTCAACTGGAAAATGCCCACAAGCCTTCCTACAATTTAACGTGGACACTTTGTGTTGTCTCCCACTACCTAAGCGAAAAACTGGAATATGAAATACGGTATAGAGCAACTTCTTCTGGTGAGGTAAACAGGAATATTTATTTGTGGAAGGCAACAACTGTGAAACCCCTGGTCATTTTTTATTCTGCAACTCTGCTTTGGATTATAAGCAATATGGTGTAGGAAAACAAAACAATACAATACAGTAGAAGTACAAATGCATAGAAGAAATATCAGCTATTCTTGAAGCTTGATAACAATCGGCTGCAGCCCAAATTTTTGGCTTACTTCACATATCAGTCTAAGCCACTGTATGCTTAACCATGCTTTGATGAATAAATCACAATTAGACTTAGAATAACTTTATTGTCACTTTGAATGTACACTAATCGGCATATATTAAAATGAAATTTTGTTACACACAGCTCTCAAAGGGTTACCACCTCCAATATATACTACGAAAACATGACAAAATAAATAAATACAAAATTATGCATATATCCAAATATCTTATATGACACAATGAAACAACACAGTCTAGTTTAGATGTATAGATGTACATGGCAAGAAAAACAAATCCTGCGAGTTTACCAGACGGATGGCATAGGGAACAAAGCTGTTACAGAATCTGGTAGTCCTGCTAGAAATATTTCAAAACCTCCTCCCAGAGGAGAGCAACAGAAACAGACTGTAAAGTGGGTGTGTGGGATCTCTAACAATGCTTTGAGCTCTAAGCACATAGTGCTTATAAGCAATATCCTGAATAACAGGAAGCGAGCTTCCTATAATCTTTTCAGCTGTCCTTACCACTCTCTGTATGGACTTTCTATCTGAGGCACTGCTGCCACCAAACAAAACAGTGATGCAGTTTGTTAAATGCTCTCAATTGTGCCTCTATAAAAAGTGGCCAGGGCAGAAGGAGAAAGATGTGCCCTCCTCATCCAACACAGGAAATGCAGATGCTGGTTTGCACACTTCACTAACGAGGGCCATGGGTCATGGGCCATCAAAGTGAACAGTAGCAGACTCAAGACACAGCCCTGTGGAGAACCTGTACTCAAGGACATGGAGTTGAAAACTTTTCTTCCAACTCGCACAAACTGGGGCCTATCAATAAGGAAAATTGCCACCCCAAATGCCACTGATCACCAGTTCAAATCCTTCAGGGTGATGTAGCTCATCTTAATTTGCAAGGGTGCTAGGAAGATGAAATGGGGCAATAGGGAGATATCTAAATAAAACCTTAGTGCTCCTTGGAGTCATAGTGTTCTGTCCCCCTTCCACACACAGGCAAACACACAACCAGGCACGCCTGCCAAGATTTTATTAAGCAATCAGACTAGAAACCCTTGCAGATAAGAGTTTTGGCAGTAAACTGCGAAATGCCTGCCAAGTCAGTTTTCACTCACAGTAAGCAAGAGAGAGTTTATCCTCAGTCCGGTTCAGTAGCAAAAATTAATCCACAAAGCAAGAGTTAGCCAAGGTCCAATCCAAATATGCACAAGCCAGATTTCAGGTAACGCGATGTGACTCTCAGATTTTTTAACTTTGACCATCACAGAGCCTGAAGAACAATCACACCCACTTTTATTCCTTGTGAGGTGTGGCTCAGTGACTCAGCTCAATCTCTGGCCCTCCCACGCCTCTTTCATTGCTGCGCACGCTTCTCCCTCCGACGCTGCCTGGGATCAAGCCAGGATTCATCATCCTCACTCCCTATCTGTTGATGTTCCGATATGCTTTCCTCCTGACATATCCCAAGCTGTTCCTCTTGGCCTTTGGATGGAACCTGAGGCATTGCCAGAGAGGAGGGTCCTGGAGAGGGAGGCCTTATCAGTTCTTCCCCATCACCTTCTGAGTTCTCTTCCTCTGTTAGGACAGGCTTGGGAGTCGGAGTCACAACACATAGCTAGTATATAGAATCTATAACTAGTATTGCAGTAGTATCATTAGAATGACCAAAGCTGGAGTATTTAAAGATGGGAGGGACATATTTTAAGCCTTAAGACCTATAGCTATAGGGCTATGAATTCTCCATCATAATTTGGTGGGAAATATACAAATGTTATATATACTACAACTACACACAACTCAAATATCATTGCTTTTGATTCCATTTTGCAGAATGACACAATCCTGCCCATAATTCAGGATCAGAAATGGCTAGTAATGGAGAATCTTTCTCCTGACACAGTGTTTGAGGCAGCCATTCGTGTCAAAGTAAAACAATCTGAATACTACAACAGCGTATGGAGCAGATGGAGCACGCCTCCTTTAAGATGGAAGACAGATCTTGAAGGTAAGGTGCATAATAGAAGGCTTGGATCATCTCTAGAGAACATGTTGAGATGATAAGTCCCAAGAACATCATAAGTAGAAAACTCAAGAATGATATTTAACAATAATACTTGACCTTAAAAGAATTTTAAATAAGAAATCTGGTGATGCACATATGAGTTAAGATGTGGGAGGAAGTTTCAGGCAAACAAACAAATCTACAATTTAATGTACAGCATGTTGAATGGGCAGATTCTAAGGCACCTGCATCTCATAGATGCAAAATTAGGGACAATTTCTTGCCTGGCTACTTTTGAAGATGTTTACTCAAAAGCCTAATTTTCTTAAAATATTGCATTTATACATTTGAAATTTTTAGGCCATGCTCACAATCCTTTTTATTAGGAATGAACATGTATTTATTACATGTTCATGTAATAAAATGTATTTATTATAATACTGATATAGTGCCATCTTCTATATGATTCCAGATGGTTTACAATCCTAGCATATAAAACAAAGCAGTGAACATTATTTTAAAGAAACGTCTCTAAAAACACTTCCATTAAACAAAACAAACTAAAATTAAAATCTGAATTAGGAAGTGCTTCTAACTGGATTACACACACACAGCACCTCTCTGCTGTTAATTAAAACAGCCAGTTTTTTTTCAGGCTTCAGCCTGAGCTGGAAAAAAGAGTAGTTGAGCCCATTGATAGAAGTTAATGAGCCTCTTTTAAACTTTTGCATTCAAAGACTGCTAAATGTCAGATGTGTGAAAGATTAGATTCAAGTCTTTTGCTTCAGGATGCAAAAGGTCTCATGAGGAATTTTTAATCAGTATATTTTTCCAGGATGTTATTTGGGTTCCCAACTTTTGGGGCTACAGCATACATCTGGAATTTATAAAAGCAAGTGTGATATAATGGTTATGTGTTGGGTTAGGATTGAACTAGGACAAACAAGTTTGAATCTTTCTTCAGACATGGAAGGTCACTGACAATATTGAGCCAGTGTCTATCTCTTAGTTCAACAAAGCCTATAGAATTGTTTATGTGGACAAAAATTAAACCCTGAAGGAATAGTGGGATATAAATCTAATGAATAAATACTAGCTTCTATGTGGATTCCACTTTTTCACACAATAGCTGCTATTTTTACCCTAAAGCTAGTGCAATGAAGAATGTCAACAGGGGAGATAAAAAGTGAGGCTGGCAAAAACTGTGACAAACATAACAAAAGTAGAACCTTGGTTATCCAGTTGTGGTGTCATCTTGATTTTTCTGGTTTCCTCTTTCCCATGGGTGCCTCTGGGTACAGATGGATTCAGAATTCCAACTCAGTTCTTTGACTTCAAAATGCTATGCTCCAACACTTACTTTAGATACAGACTGATAGTATCAAAGACAAGTAACTAGTTCACAAAACTATTGCAAGTCAGAGATAGAATATAGGTTCCTCATGCTCAATAAATTAGCACCTATAAATGGACAAGGAAGGAGACAATAATGATTGTTATAAAATAAATACAACACAAATCCAGTCAAAACATAGAACATGAAAAGCAGGTTGGCTAGTAGCCAATCATCATTTTAATTTTTTAAAGAAGGGTTTGGCAAGTATTCTTAGAAATAAAGATTGTGCTGAAGATTAGCGTTTCCCTTTACCACATCTCATATGAATTTTTATTGCGGAGGTGGTTAATCTCAAAAACAACAAAGAACCTGATAGGAACGAATGAGTTTTCTGCAAGGATCATGATGCACATTAGGGAGGGCTGCTGTATACCAAAATAGGGCCAAGGAGACCAGTTCAGAACTTCGATCAACTCTGAACTTCATAGGATGGTTTGGAGCAGACAACACTTATCTCCTATAGGGATGTAAATGGTAGAAAGGAACATTGTATCCTCTACTACTTGAAGGAAAAGCAAGACCAGAATAATTATAAAATAATTACAAAAGCAATACAAAAAGTTATCTTCCTCTTATTCATTAAACAAAATCTCAAATCTGCAGTGTTGTATTGAGCTGTACACCCATGAACCCATTTTGCTTTGCATAAGGAGTCTCCCTCTATATTCAGATAAGAGCTTCTTATCTTCAATCAATAGCTAATTTCTACTTATTTGTTTCTGGTTGTTTTTGTAGCATCACCACAAAGTGCACACCTTCGAATTATTGTAGCTGTTGTGGGGAGTTTCATTTCCATCTTCATCATTTTCTTGGTGTTTTTATTTCCAGCATCAAAATGGTAAAAGTGAGCTAAAAATTTACTTTTGTCCTCTTGCTAGTTTTATTAAGAGTTTTGTGCCCTGGTCCACTAATGTAGATTTCTACTTTGGCAAAATTTCAAATTGATAAGATGTATTTATACATAAATTAAGAGGTCCATTTAAAGACAGAAAAGTTTTATTTATTTTTGAAAATAGCAATAGCACTTAGACTTCACAGTGCTTCACAGCCCTCTCTAAGTGATTTTACAGAGTCAGCATATTGTCCCCAACAATCTGGATCCTCATTTTACCAACCTTGGAAGGATGGAAGGCTGAGTTAACCTTGAGCCGGTGAGACTCGAAGTGCTGAACTGCTGACAGCTGGCAGTCAGCAGAAGTCGCCTGCAGTACTGCATTCTAACCACTGCGCCACCACAGCTCTACAGGCAGGGGCGCTTGGCCATTCTTTTATTTGAATCAAAAATGCCCTGCATGCTCAGCACATACTTTTTATATATATTTACAGCAGCATAGGGATTTCCTCAGAGACTATTCTCTGTAACACTTTGATTGACAATATGATCACATTAGTTTGTGTGACTATATGAACATTTCAGAAAGCACTACACAGAAGAACCCACCTTTGAAGAAACCTAAAAGATCTTAAACCTGGTTCAAATGTCCGTGGTCATGTAGAATTAATTACATAGAAACCCAGGTTGATTATTACGATGGACATTCTAAAGCGGTTGATATAGCCCAATGTTTATGGAGTGAGTTATATAGGGGACAGCTCCATTAAGGAATTTTAAAAAACGTGGTCTCTATCATCATATCTGTTCAATTGCATGAAATCATATGACTTAAATGTTTTTTTGCTATTTGAAACAGAAGAAAGTTTTGGCAACATATGGGATAAATAAGATCAAAGTATGAGTGTAAAGATGAGTGATTATCACCTATGTACCAACCTTTATTTGATGCCCTTCATATATTTTGGAGTCCAGGTCCTATCATCCCTAATCAACATACTAAGGAAATTGTAGTCTAGAACCGTACTAGCAAATATGGTCAGTTGTTTCTTAAAATAATAATAAATATTGGGAAAATTTAGATGTTTTATCTTCCCTTCACCTTTTTGTGAAAAAGTAAGTGCTGCAACATTTCTTCCTTTGTTCCACTTGATTACATCTTTTAATTCTGAATATAGTTTGCATTTAACTTTTTTCTAATGAAAATATAATTCACTTTTCTGAAGTTCTGAAATCTTGCAATGCAGGATTTGTAATTTCTCATTATTGTGAATTTCTAAAAGGAAAAGAGGGTGTTCCATTGGAAATCAGATAGTGCCAATTCTATATTGCCTTTCTCTGTGAAATCACTCCTTCCATGATATCCACTATCAGGAAATATGGCCAGTTTCAGTCTAGAAACCAGAAGAACATTGTAAAAAAAAAATTGTAACAGGATAATCACAAAAATACCAACACCCAACCTCTAAAGCAGGGGTGTCAAACTTGTGATGACACGTTGTCATCACATGATGTATCACAACTTTTTTCTCCTTCGCTAAACCGGGGATGGGTGTGGCCAGCACATGATGCATCTGGCCAGTGGGCCACGAGTTTGACACCCCTACTCTAAAGCATTCTGGAAAAGATGCAAAAATAAATAGAGAAATTTACTGTTTTGATCCAAATCTGCTGTTTCTGTGCTCGCTTGTGACTGTTCTCCAAACTCTTACTTATAGTATTTTTTATTCTCTTCCAATATGTACTTGTCTTAGCCTTAGAAAGAAGTTTAAAATCAACTTTCCAGATCCAGCTGAGTTCTTTCCATCTCTCACTGGTATCCATGGAGGAGATATCCAGGTATGGAGGCGGGGGGCTTAGAAATTGATGGATATGTAGCTTAGGACATGACTGCTATCTGGAAAAAAGAAAGTAGGCTAGAGTTAACCTGATGCATGTTTCTCACTGCACATAGAGTAACATCTGGATGCAGGATTAAATAATTAAGCTAAGGTGAAATTTAACAATACTACTGTTAGTAAGTAATATTTATTACTACCAAATAAATGGAGAATTAACATAATTATGTCTTTAAATAATTGCACAAAAACGATTTTCCTTAAATTACTCATCAGAGATTACAGTACACTGTAATCACTGATTCTTGGTGAAATCAGTGTAGCCCTACTAAACAAATCTGTTTGTTTACTAACTGAATGTTGGCATTTGTTTAGCAGTAGGCAATTGTCTTATTTAGTTTTACCAGTATTACTGATGTTATTAAAATTGTATATATGCTTATCAAAAAAAGAAAGGCTAAATAATTATTTACCCACATTGTATGTATTCTTGTATCTAGTAGGATATGCTACTTTATCAATGGTGTTGAATTAATTGTACAATTCTGAAATATCCATATTTCTATATATTTTGGGCTTCTCCAAACTGTTGGAATACTTTGAAATGGGTTGTATATAATTCTCATACATCCCTATATTTTATTTCGGTGTATGTATTTAGATCAAAATACATCTTCAATATCAACCTATCATATTAGCAAATTAGCAATGCAATTAATAAATTCAGGAGGATCAGCTTTCTCTAGTCCTTCCTTTCCCCCCCCCTCCCCCGGTCATATATGGACATGCTTTATTTTTAAGTGTAGTTTCTAGCTTTAAATAGTACAGAATCAAAACATTCTGCAGGAACACTTCACATAGAGCCTATAGTGTCAATTAAAGTTGCACTTATGTCACTACCACTAAAGTAATGATAATCTGTAATAGATGACAAAAGTCAACTGTCTGATAAAATCAAAGCAATCAAAATGATATATAATATTCAAAACTTCACTTTCAAAATTTAGGTCAAACCACATGTTTGGCTGAAAAAATATAACAAAAATAAACTAACCTGGGAAGCCAATGCTCCTGTTTTTAGTTTTTATCAGAGTAATAGGAAATGTTTAACGTTTGCTTTTTTCTTCTGACACAAAACTGAAACAAAAAAAAAGGAAAATTGCCTCCCCTCCTTGCCAACAACACTATTCAAATAACATTTAGCGCTTAGATCAGGGGTGTCAAACTCGCATCGTCATGGCGGTGTCACGTGACATATCGTGGCTTTTTCCCCCTTTGCTAAAACAAGAGTTGGCATGGCCAGCACGTAACACATCCGGCCAGTGGCCCGCAAGTTTGACACCCCTGACTTAGATGAAGAATAAGGTAAACCACTATCCCCACTTCAATAAAGTTAAAGGCCCTAAGGTAGCTGTTAGAATCAGGGGTGGGTTCCAGTTACCTTTGCTACCGGTTTGCAACAGGAGCGCACATGTGTGTGCGCACACTTTGCTTGCGCGCGGTGCTTCTGCGTATGTGCAGAGCATCCGTGATGACGTCCGGGAGGGTGGGTGGAGCCTCCCACCACCGTTACTACCAGTTCGCAAGATCTGGACCGAACCTGTAGCAGCCCACCACTGGTTAGAATGCATAGACATTCTAAAAGGTGATTTTTTAAAAATGTCATCATTATGTAGTACATCTGCATCACAAACAGTTTTTATTTTTCTAAACGGATTAGAAGTTAATTTCACAATGTGTTCCTTTGCATGTACACAAAATGAAAGGGTAATGGGGGTATATTAAGATATCTACCTATACTTGCAGAATAAATGTGAGCAACCTAATTAAAAGCTGTTCTGCATATTTATTTAAAAATACACATCTGGTCAGTTGTGTGCTAAATGTGCCCAAAATTATCAGCTACCCCTTTTTTGCAAATCATTTAATTCATATATTTTAGTTTGGTTTAAGGTTTAGGAAACTTTAAAGCTCTAGAGAGCATCCTATGTATAGATGTCAATGAGAAGAGAGAAGAATAAAGTTAATGCCCTATATAGCAGTTACCACAGTAAGAACATCCATTCATAGTGAGGGTAAAAATGCTTGCTTTTATCTGCCTTAGTGTAATAAAGGAAGTGCCATTTGATTTAGGAAAAAGTTATTAAGAATTTCCCATCACCTCTTAGCCTCTGTCAGTTATTAACTGGCTTTCAGAAGATGACTTTTAGAAGTGACAAAGAGCCTGTAGAGGGGAGTGAAGTCACTTCACTTTTAGAAGAAAGAGATTGTAGGAGATGACAAGGCTGAGCCCGAGGGAAGGGTCAAATATGTTATAAGTCACAAGTCCCTTCACACTTTCAAGAGATCTAAGTCCAGCCACCTTGAATTCCTTCTTATTCTTAATTCCTATGCATTTCCTTAATGGTCACTTGAACAGTTTCTTGTAGCAAACTTAAACTTAAATTTCAAATTCAAAGTTGTGCTATTTTACTCTTCTCCATTCCAGTATCTTCTAGTTATGACCATGCTAGTTGGGGTCAAAATATCTGGAAGACACTAGGCTGGAATAGATTGCTTTGGGGGATGGGTGTCAAACTCACATCATCACGGCGGCATCACGTGATGTATCGGGACTTTTTTCCCTTTGCTAAACTGGGTTTGGGCATGGCCAGCGCATGATGCATCCGGCCCATGGGTTGCGAGTTTGACAGCCCTGCTCTAGGGAATATGGCACATGATGTTATTATCTATGAAATATACCAGACAGATAGGTTACAGGTCAATTGCTTGTGGAAATAGGACAAAATTTCTTGAACATCTATATGTTAAGGTATGAAGTCTGCACTGCAGTTTATTTTGAATACTAATCCCCCTTTCTGTACTTTTCCAACCAGCAGAAGTGGTTGTCCTCCCCAGCATCCATTACTTCCTTCCATATTACAGCTGAAGCTCCCAATGTCTCTATGTTAGAGATAATTCAAAGTTGCAGCAAGAAGTCCTACCTTCTCCCTCCTAAGGAATGCTTCACAAATATTGAGAACATAACAGAGACCAGTGGACAGTCCTCAGGCAGCTGCTTTACAAACCGTGGCTATTTCTTTTTCCAGCATCTTGATTCCCTTGAGATTGATTCCTGCAAGGTGTATTTTACTTATGATGCTCAGACTCGTAGTGAAGATAGTAATTCCTATTTCCACAAAGAGCTCCATGAAGCAAGTCACAATGTCTCATCTTCTATCAACATCATGAGTAACCAGGAAAATGATGCTTTTCTTCAAGATTATTCAAGAGGCAGTCTTCCATCAGGGAGTGACTTCCCAATAGCATCACTGGTAGAACAGAATGAGAACACAGAAGAGAGAATTCCTCTTGTCTTGTCTTCAAAATCCCCTGAGCAGTATTCCATAGATGATTCAAGTGAGCCAAAATCATCTAGCCGCAATACTGATGGAAGAGAATTACTCAGAAATGAAGACTTATCTAACAATGTTATGGGAAATAACAGGTTCATGTTTTCAAATCAAGGCCAATCCAATAATATCTGCAGAACTGCATCCTCTAGCCAGATCCCCAGTTCTTCAGAAGCCTATCTGTCCTTGCGGGATCTTCAGAGACATTACAGTCATCATTCTGTCTAAGGCCATGATGGGAAGCCTCTTTTGAGAGCAATATAGTTTCTTTATATATATCATTCACTTGTTCCAGTCAAGGAAGCAGAAATAGATCTCCATTCTTTTGACATGATTTCTAATAAAAGAATGAATAGAAGATTTTATACTTTATAGGAATGTCATTCAGAGAAACCTGGCTGGCTGATTTCCAGCCGATGTCACAGAACCACCTGTCACAAGAAACGGACCTCTACATTCCTGTGCTGGCTTCTCCCTTTTTGTGGGCTTCGAAAGGACACAAAACCACCTTGTAGGGGTAGCAAAGCTAAGGAGGGATGCTCTGAGAGGTCGCAGGAAAGATTGCAACTCTTCTGCTGAACCCCGGAGCTTTTGTCCCTCTATGCCACGGTGAGAAGATGCAGTCTATGATGGCTGCCACAAAGCTGGGACAGCCAACTAACAACTAAGCACTGTGCAGATGTTATGCTACATGATTGAACATATACAAGTGATTTGAGGAGGCTTGGACAACCCCTTGGTTTATTTAAATGGATTTGACTGATTATTTATGAGATATTAAAAATTGTGATTTGTGTTATCTCAGTTTTGAATGAATGATTCCTGGGCTACTGGCTAAAAATGGGACCTTTTAAACAAAATAAGACGCAACACAAGGAGGAAGTGAGTGGAATTTTAAATGAAATGTAGCTGATGTTTCAAAGCATTAAGGACTTTATACAGGAACAACATAAGGTGATGGTGAAATTATTTGATGGCATAGACCAAAAACTGGAAAATATTATACAAGGGACAATGAGCAAAGACCAGGACAATCAGGAAAGAAAGGAGCCACCAGAAGGAATGGAGGGGAAAGCAGAACTGAGAAACAACCGAAAAGAAGACAACAAGAAGGAGATATCATCAAAATTAATAATGACTAAGGAATTCAAACAGGAGGAAAATATTTTAAAAGTTTTAAAAAGGGAATGGGAGAAATAAGAAGACATCTGGGAAAAGGAGATAGGGGTTAGAACAGATAGCTTTAAGAATGGAATGGAATGGAATGGAATGGAATGGAATAGAATAGAATAGAATAGAATAGAATAGAATAGAATAGAATAGAATAGAATAGAATAGAATAGAATAGAATAGAATAGAATAGAATAGAATAGAATAGAATAGAATGGCTTGTGCATGGTCACTCATGCCCTCGTCACGTCATGTCTGGACTACTGTAATGCTCTCTACATGGGGCTCCCCTTGAAGAGCACTCGGAGACTCCAACTGGTCCAGAATGCGGCTGCGCGGGTGATTATGGGAGTGATACGGCACACCCATGTAACACCTCTCCTGCGTGAGCTGCACTGGCTCCCAGTGGTCTTCTGGGTGCGATTCAAGGTGTTGGTCACCACCTTTAAAGCTCTCCATGGCTTAGGACCTGGGTATGTACGAGATCGCGTTCTGCCAATGATAGCCTCCCACCGGCCAATACGCTCCCACAGAGAGGGACTCCTCAGGGTGCTGTCGGTCAAACAATGTTGACTGGCGACACCCAGGGGGAGAGCCTTTTCTATGGGGGCACCTGCCCTCTGGAATGAATTGCTCCCGGAGATGCACACGATCCCCTACCTACGTACCTTTCACCGTGCCCTTAAGACTCTATTGTTTCAACAGGCTGGGCTGTCTTAGAAAATGAATTTTAATTGGGTGTTTGTAGTTTATCATATAAGGGCCAAATGTCCAATATATTTTAAACTATTTTTAAATTTTATAGGTATATGTGGTTTTAATATGGCTGTACACCACCCTGAGTCCTTCGGGAGAAGGGTGGTATAGAAATTTGATAGATAGATTGATAGATAGATAGATAGATAGATAGATAGATAGATAGATAGATAGATAGAATAATAGTGTTGGAAGAGACCTTGTAGGTGTTCTAATCCAACCCCCTGTTTAGGCAGGAAACTCTACACCACTTCAGACAAATGGTTATCTAATTTCTTCTTAAAAACTACAAGGTCTCTTCCAACTCTGTTAATCTGTAAGAAATATCTGTCTATCAGCACTATGAATCAATAGAATAGAATAGAATAGAACAGAACAGAACAGAACAGAACAGAACAGAACAGAACAGAACAGAACAGAACAGAACAGAACAGAACAGAACAGAATAGAATAGAATAGAATAGAATAGAATAGAATAACAGTGTTGGAAGGGACCTTGGAGATCTTCTAGTCTAACACCCTGCCCAGGCAGGACATCCTACACCACTTCAGACAAATGATTATTCAATGGTTATCTTCTTAAAAATTTCTGGTGTTGGAGCATTTACAACCTCTGGAGGCAAATTGTTCCACTGATTAATTGTTCTAACTGTCAGGAAATTTCTCCTTAGTTCTAAGTTGCTTCTCTCCTTCTCTCCTTGATTACTTTCCACTCATTGCTTCTTGTCCTACCCTCAGGTGCTTTTGAGAATAGCTTGACTCTTCTTTGTGGCAGCCCCTGAGATATTGGAACACTGCTATCATGTCTCCCCTAGTCCTTTTTTTCATTAAACTACACATACCCAGTTCCAGCAACCGTTCTTCATATGTTTTAGCTTCCAGTCCCCTAATCATCTTTGTTGCTCTTCTCTGCACTCTTTCTAGAGATTTCACATCTTTTTTTACATCATGGCGACCAAAGCTGGATGCAGTATGCCAAGTGTGGCTTTACCAAGGCATTATAAAGTGGTATTAACACTTCACGTGATCTTGATTTTATCCTTCTGTTTATGCAGCCTAGAACTGCGTTCGCCTTTTTGGCAGCTGCTGTACATTGCTAGCTCATTTTTAAATGGTTGTCTACTAGGACTCCAACTGTGAGAGTCTACTAGTAACTCTCACAGTTACTACTATTGAGCAAGGTACCACATATACTGTACCTGTGCATTTTGTTTTTCTTGCCTTACTTTTTTCACCATTGAATTCCATTTTGTTAGATAGCGCCCAATGTTCAAGTCTGTCAAGATCCTTCTGTATCTTAAGCCTATCTTCCGGAGTGTGGGCTATTCCTGCCAGCTTGGTGTCATCTGCAAATTTGATGAGTTCTCTCATCCAAATCATTGATGAAGATGTTGAAGAGCACTGGGCCTAAAACAGAGCCCTGGGGTACTCCACTGAGTACTTCCGTCCATGTAGATGCAGTTCCATTGAGGACTACATGTTGAGTGCAGTTGGTCAGCCAGTGACGAATCCATCTGGTGGTGATGCTGTCTAACCCACATTTTTCTACTTTATCTAGTAGTAGGTTATGGTCTACTTTGTCAAATGCCTTACTGAAGTCCAAGTAAATTATATCAACAGCATTCCTCTGGTCCGCTAATTTTGTCACTTTGTCAAAGAATAGAATAGAATAGAATAGAATAGAATAGAATAGAATAGAATAGAATAGAATTCTTTATTGGCCAAGTGTGATTGGACACACAAGGAATTTGTCTTTGGTGCATATGCTCTCAGTGTACATAAAAAGAAAAGATACATTCTTCAAGAATCATAAGGTACAACACTGAATGATAGTCATAGGATACAAATAAGCAGTTGAAACATACTAGGAAACAATATAAATTGTAAGGCTACAGCAACAAGTTACAGTCATTTAGTCATAAGTGGGAGGAGATGGGTGATAGGAACGATGAGAAGATTAATGGTAATAGTAATGCAGACATAGTGAATAGTTTGACAGTGTTGAGGGAATTATTTGTTTAGCAGAGTGATGGCGTTCGGGAAAAAACTGTTCTTATGTCTAGTTGTTCTGGTGTGCAGTGCTCTATAGTGTTGTTTTGAGGGTAGGAGTTGAAACAATTTATGTCCAGGATGCGAGGGGTCTGTAAATATTTTCCCAGCCCTCTTTTTGACTCATGCAGTATACAGGTTCTCAATGGAAGGCAGGTTGGTAGCAATTGTTTTTTCTGCAGTTCTAATTATCCTCTGAAATCTGTGTCTGTCTTGTTGGGTTGCAGAACCAAACCTGACAGTTATAGAGGTGCAGATGACAGACTCAATAATTCCTCTGTAGAACTGTATCAGCAGCTCCTTGGGCAGTTTGAGCTTCCTGAGTTGGTGCAGAAAGAACATTCTTTGTTGTGCTTTTTTGATGATGTTTTTGATATTAGGTGTCCATTTTAGGTCTTGAGATATGATAGAATCTAGAAATTAGAAGATCTCTACTGTTGATATTGTGTTGTCTAGTATTGTAAGAGGTGGTAGTATGGGAAGGTTTCTCCTAAAGTCTACCACCATTTCTACGGTTTTGAGTGTGTTCAGTTCCAGATCGTTCCGGTCACACCATGAGGCTAGTTGTTCAACCTCCCGACTATATGTGGTTCATCATTGTCTTGAATGAGACTAATCACTGTTGTATCATCTGCAAACTTCAGTAGTTTAACAGATGGATCATTTGAGATGCAGTCATTGGTATATAGAGAGAAGAGAAGTGGAGAGAGCATACATCCTTGGGGGGGGCTGTGCTAATTGTACAGGTATCCAATACGATTCTGCTTAACTTCACCTGCTGCTTCCTGTCTGTTAGGAATTAGTCTGGCATGATCTGTTTTTGACAAACTCATGTTGGTTTTTGGTTATTACTTTATTTGCTTCTAGGTGTTCACTGATTCGTTGCTTGATTATCTTTTCCAGAATCTTCCCTGGTATTGAGGTTAGGCTAATATGTCTGTTGTTTCCTGGATCTATTTTTTTCCTTTTTTGAAGATGGGAACTACATCAGTTCTTTTCCAGTCCTCTGGCAGTTCCCCAGTGCTCCAGGATCTTTGAAAGATATAGTTCAGTGGTTCTGAGATCTCGTCTGCCAGTTCCTTCAGAACCTTGGGGTGTAATCCATCTGGTCCTGGTGATTTGAACTCATCTAGGGTAGATAGGTGCTCACTTACCATTTTCTTCCCTATTTTAACTTGTGTTCCTAATCTGTTTTTTGTGGTGCTGTTTTTGATAGGTTGGACTGTTTTTTCCCTTTGTGTAAAGGCAGATGCAAAAAAGAAGTTAAGTAGTTCTGCTTTCTCCCCGTTGCTTGTCACCTTCTTGCCACTTTCTCCCAGCAATGGACCAATTGTTTCCTTTACTTTTTTGTTGTTTTTAACATGTTGGAAAAAGCTTCTTCTTTTTTTTTTTTTTTACTTTTGTTGCAAGCCTTTGTTCATTGTGAGCCTTAGCTTTCCTCACTTCACCTTTGCAGGCTTGGGCTATTTGCTGATATTCTGCCTTAGTTATGTGACCCTCTTTCCACTTTTTATACTTGTCCGTTTTGTTTTTCAATTTGTCAGAGAGTTCTTTGTGCAGCCATGCTGGTTTCTTTTGAGAGCTGTTATTTTTCTTCTTCATTGGTATTGTGCTAGACTGGGCTTTTATAATCTCACTTTTCAAAATTTCCCAAGCTTCTTGAGTTGTTTTCCCCTTGAGGATTCTTATCCATGGAATTCTTCCCAAGCTCTCTCTAAGTTTATTGAAATTAGCAGTCCAAGACTCTAGTTTGACTTTGTTCTACTACTTCTGCTTGCATAATGTTGAATTCCAATATTGCATGATCACTTCCCCCAAGGTTCCTGTAGCTTCAACACCTTCTATTATTTCATCTCTGTTAGTGAGAATTAAGTCCAATATGGCTGATCCTCTTGTTCCCTTCTCTACTTTTTGGGAAACAAAATTGTCTGCTAGGTTTGTTAGGAACCTGTTGGATCTTCCACTTGGTGCAGAGTTTGTCTCCCAGTTGATGTCAGGGTAGTTAAAATCTCCCATTACTATTGTGATGTGCTTCCTACATACCTTAGTTAGCTGACTAGCAAAAAGTTCATCTATTTCCTCTGTTTGGTTGGGTGGTCTATAGTATACACCTATGGCAATGTCATTTCCCCCCCTTTAATATTGACCCAAATGCATTCAAGATAATTTTCATCATTGTTGTGCTCTATTTCTGTAGAGATGTAGTTATTTGTTATACATAGTGCAACTCCACCTCCTCTTTTATTTGGTCTATTTCTTTTAAATAATTTAAATCACTCTAGCTGTATGTTCCATTTGTGGGTTTCATCCCACCAAGTGTCTGTAATGGCAACAATATTATATCTATCCACATTTACTTGAATTTCTAATTCACCCTGGTCAGTGTCTCTTCGCATTTCTACCATCAGGCAGAAGATATCGAAGCATAGCCAGTCGAACAAATAGGTTTAAAAATAGTTTCTATCCTTGGGCTGTCAGACTCTTAAACACA